ACTCATACACCGCGCTCCAGATGACTTTCTGAGGACTAACGCAAACCACCGTCGACCTTTGTGCACGTCTAGAAAGAAAGAAAGGAAGTAATAATATAGTTAACAAACCAAGCAAAAATGGTCACAAACGCAGTGAAATCATATAATAGTGTCCACCATACTTTTACTTCACAGCAGGATGCTACTTTCTCCCTGTCTGGGCCAAGTACCTCATATATACACTCGCTTTACTCAGTCCAATTCCCTCGCTTGTAGATAAGGGGTTATCGTAGCAATTTCATGATAGTGCGTATATTGGAATCCATTTACGGCTAATGTCAATAATTGAGATTTCGTAGCCCTCAGTTATCCACGCAGTATTGAGACAAGAACCGGGATCTCGTATGTCGTTTGGTCGAAACTTACCAGGGAAGATACCCCTTGCGCTCAAGGGCTATACCTGATCGTGAAAGGAAAATGGGTGATGAACTCACATGAGCGCCGTTCCAAGGCCTTGTGTATATTGCTATGTAGCTCAAAGAAATTGTTATGTGAATGAAGAGGACATCTGCATGTGCAGTGCATATTGACCAATATATAGATGGTTCGATAGGGAAAGCATAGTGAAAATTGTGAGGTGGACCAGTTGACGGTGAAGTGGACAAGCTGGAATCTGTACAGAAGTTTGGCACTTAATTCACAAGCTTTCATGGATCCTAACCATGGTATTGCATTACGATAGGGTATCTAGAAAATCTGCAACGCCTGCAGCAGGTATACGAGCCCCAAGCCCACCAATGCAAATACCGCACCACCGCCAAACCCGGCATTGTTGTACGCTTGGGTTGGCAACGAAGATGAAGACGACGATGAGGAAGTACTACCAGACGATATTGAACCGGAGCTCGAACTCGAAGTGGTTCCCGCCGCCGCAGCACCCGTACCAATAGACGACGCGCCGGCAGTCTCACTCGCAGTCCCAGCCGCGGTAGCAGTGGCAGTAGCACTCGCTGCAGTCGTCGTCAAGGCCGCCCAGTTCTGGTACTCGCTGCTTTCCGCCTGCGCGAGCGTCACGTCAAAGGGACCATACGGCTCGCCGTTCGCGGTATGGTCGGACAGCGTCGTGTCCACGTCGCTGGGGTCAGCGACCGCATCATATGCGTACGCATAGCTGAACGTGGCCGTCTTTTTGTCCTCGCCGAAGGAGTCTGAGTTACGGCATCCACCGCAGACGAAAGTTGCCGAGACATGTGTGTCGTTCACAAAGGTGCCGTCCGGGATCTGATTGATGGTGATGGGGTTGGCCTTGTAGATGTTGGCGCCGTTCGAGATCTCGTACCCAGTTGCTATGCGAGGAGATAACATCACTGTGTTGTCCTTTTCCGTATTGGGCCAGGCAACGAGTAATAGGTGGCCGGTCATGTACTCGCCGAAGTCGACTCCTCCCCATCCAACGCCGTCCTTCAGCGGTGATATCAGCTGGATAATGAGGTCTTCGTTCGGGTCGGATGGCAGAGCCATGCCAAAATGGAAGCCCTCGTTGGCATATCCCAGGAACGTGATGTTCGTGTTACTGTCGGTATACTGGCTCGCTTCCGGATTGCCATCGCTGCCAGTAGTTGCAGCCGAGACGAAGGTGCCAGCCAGAAAGGACAGAACGGCTGCCGTGAAAGTGGTAGGAAGGACGTGCATGACGATTAAAGTGAATACTGTGACAGATTGGCCCGCAAATCTGGTCAATTCTTTTCTTGAGAAGGCGAGGGGAATAAAAAGTTTATTGTTCCTGTGCGGTCTACATTCTGGTCTGACGGAGGGAGATGGCCTTCTTTATGTGCTAGAGACTGATTTCAGAGGCCTTCACTGTAGTCGGAATCATTGGCCAAGGAACAACGCCTCCATGTTGCAAAGGCAACCCCCTGCGCGGCTTGTTGTTTCGAAGTCATACGAACCAATCAAGCCCAAGACATTTCCTACGAGAAAATTGGGAGTTTTGTTGTCTTCTGCGAGTGATATCTGGCAGAAAACTTTGGACTCTTAGGACAAGAGGCGCCCGAAGTTGAAAGCAGTGGACAGGCACACATGTATAAATCTATGCAGTACTCGAAAGCCCCTGCGCGGGGTTAGGGTTCTGCATGGAGTTTACCCAACATGAGATACGGTTGACCCCAATCATGCCAGGGGGTGGCACAGCTTGAGAGCAGCTACTGAACCCTTAAATTGGCAGAGGCTAATATGATAATGATCTCGTTCTCCAAACATGGTATTGGGCTGCGTCAAGCACACGAATCGTTCACAGCTAGGAACCAGAAACGATGCTTCCATAGCAAGGTAGTAGTACCTTATTAATATGTGAAATTGATACCGGCAGCCCCGCGAGTCGTGACGGGGACTCGGCTCATATCGGGTCCTGCTGGCAGAGTTTAATCCAACGACATGTCATTGCTTTCTCCCTCACACATCGATTTACCACTCATAAAACAACTACACCCAAAATGCAACTCGGACTCGACGGCAAGATAGTTCTGGTCACAGGTAATCACGATACCCTGTCTAGCCTCTCAAAGCAGCTTCCAAACGTCGAGCTAACATGGTTCAGGTGGCACCAAGGGCATAGGCCTGGCCATCGTCGAGGCTTTTCTTCGAGAAGGCGCCATCGTCCACTTCTGCTCACGAACCGAGTCAGAAGTCACCAGCGTCCAGCAATCCTTAGCCACAACCCACGGCGCCGGAAAGGCCCACGGCAAAGCTGTGGACATCAGCGACGCGGATCAAGTCATCAAATGGACCAAGGATTCCGCTGTGCTCAGCGGCCGCATTGACGTTGTGGTTTCCAACGTCTCCGCGCTCTCTGTGAACAACACCCGACAGAGCTGGGACTCGAGCTACCAGACCGACTTGATGGGCACCTATACCCTCATCGAAGCCGCACTCCCCTACCTCAAGGAGTCAAGTGGCAACGTTGTCTCCATCAGCACTGTCTCGAGCCGATATGTGGACTTCACCGCGCCCGGGCCCTACGGCGCCATCAAGGCTGCTCTGGTTCACTACACCTCCCAGCTCGCACACAACCTGGCCCCCCACGGTGTCAGGGCCAACACTGTGAGCCCCGGAAACATCTACATCGAGGGTGGTTTCTGGGGTGAGGTGGAGAAGGGCATGCCTGAATTCTTCCAGAAGCAGATTGAAGCGAACCCTACGGGACGTATGGGCAAGCCAGAGGAGGTCGCGGATGCTGTGCTCTGGTTGGCGAGCCCGAAGGCGAGCTTTGTGAGCGGGACCAACTTGCTGGTCGATGGTGCCGTCTCTCCTGGGGTCCAGTTCTAGGAGGCGAGAACCAGGGCACGGATCCAAGGAGACCTGCATAGACCGTTCCGAAGCCCGGCCATGAAGATGAAACAAAGATTTAGCTGCGGATCTTTTATCAGTGGGGTGACGAGCTTGCCCCTATGGTGATATCACAATGCAAAAATAACTGAAATAGTGTCATAATGCTACTCTTCACTTGGCGTGACGTTCCAAGGTGCTAAACTTCCAAGGTGCTAAACGAGTCTACGAAAGCCCCATTTGCTATCCATGGCAATGGGATAGAGCATTAAGGCTGCTCAGCTTTGACGAGAGCATTATATGGTCCTGGAGTTGACCAGAGGGCTAATCACCACTACATACCCACCTGGGCTGGTTGTGAGACCCAACTTGTGAAGACTAGGTCCAAAAGAGCCCCATACAGTTGTTTGATGCTTGACTATCTCTAATCCAAATACCTAGGTATCTGTAGTTTAGTTACTATAAGGAATGAGTCCGGGTATACCCGTCATAGTACCTGGTTACCCCGTCGATTGGATGACATGGCGACTTCCCTCAAACGAAATCCATGGAACTGCACCTGTGGGCATGCTGAAGGCCTTCGAAGTACAGAAGGAGCTACCAGTAATAACCCCAGCATACAATTGGTAACTACCTAGGTAGGCAGGTATAGCTTACTGGTACAGAGATTTCACTCATTCCTCATGGGTTTGAGGATAGGTTGAAGTCCGGTATCGCATCTGTTCTTGCCATGCTAATAAGTGCTCAACCTAGATGACTAAATGTGTGCCTTCCTATTTCGTAGTTCAGATGACTGCCCCAAATGATCTCTACCTCCTCTCCGCAGTCTCTTCCTTGTCCTCCTGTCTTCCTCCTTTGCCAGTCCGCTATATACATGCCAGAAGCAATTTAGGAAGCATCAAACCGCGTACATTCTCCACCATTTCTTCGTCTCTGCAATCAAATACTCTCACTTTAACTCCCATCATGTTCATTCCCAGCGGTGACTTCGATGCAGCTGGCACGACTGCGTCGTTACCGTGGGGCCTAGCGATGGCCCTTGTTTCAGCTTCTGCCTTGCCCACTAGGCCTACTCCCCTATAATTGCGTCAGGGCGGACTTCAGCGCTCAACAAGATGGGAAAATTTCGTGAGGAAACTCGAAGCCTGCGGCCAATCATCAAGAGAGTCCCCATTGTCTTTGTGACACACCAATAAAGAGGGCAAGACCACGTACGATAGGCTCCCTCCACACAATGATGTTGCAATCTCGCTGACGCAGTTCTTGGCTACAATTGTAGTCCCAACTGACGCGACTATTGTCGAAAGTCCGGGGAAGAGACGCTAGCAACGCTCATTGCCTTCCATGTCAGTACCGAACCCGACCTGTCCCATCCTTGGACGGACCAGCCTGGGTATCACAGGCCGACAGCAATCACTGGAACCACGAGATGCCTTGGAACCACGAGATGCCTTGGAACCACGAGATGCCTTGGATCTGATATTACCGATATTGCCAGAATGATCGAATTCTGAAGGATGAAGCATAATGAGCCTCACGCTCTACAGTTAGACGCCGAAGATCTGACCAGGAACTGACACAAAGAACCTCGGCACCTGGGCATCTACACCATCAATCGAAGACCCATGCACAACGAGAAGCCCAAGCTCAGACAGCATTGCATGATAGTATTGCACCCTGGACTTGCTTTCAACAATTCCTTCGTGGCGCAATTGGCTAGCGCGTCTGACTGTTAATCAGGAGGTTCGTGGTTCGAGCCCACGCGAAGGAGGAGTTTCATTTTTTGGGTTGTTTGTCATCACTCTCTTCTCAGTTTTGCTCCACTACTGCCCCGTCACCCGACTAATTTCGGAAATGCTTATATTAGTCGAGTGGACCAGAGTTGGTCATCACTGGAGGTAGCTAAAAAACAAATATCCTGGTAGAGTCGTACTCGCGAAACTCACTGACTGCCGCTACAGACTAAGCCTTGACCACAACCTACCCCCCAACTGACGACGATGGTTCGGACCATTTTCCTGTAAATCTTGAGGGTACTGAAAAGTTCACTAGAGCAAATTTCAACTCATACTGCTTAGCCATGCTGACGGATCTTCAGGATATGCGGCAAGAGATACTACATAATTACCTATTCAAATCGAAGGGCATATGTACTGCTTCCACTATCTACGTGCTGTCATGCCACGTCACGCGTAGTTTAACGGTCTAGGCTTTGAGGATGTGGATTTGGACCTCTCGATGTTCTTTGTATGCTGCATCTTGCGTATATCACAATGGCAAGGTTCCGGAAGCGGTATTAACCATTTTGTACCCTTTGAGTCTGGCCAGTGCAGGCCTGTGGTATGGCTGGCTTTGTCTTGTCCGTTATCCGGTACGGTACACAAATCCGTGGTTACATCTATCACCTGGGCAGATAATCCTAATACCTAGCATTGGGATGTATTTCCCATTCTTTTGGAGCATGGAATACAACTTCAAGATTTTGATGGTCTCATGACGCAAGCCAGATCCACCCAGCAGCATCCAGTAACTAAATAGAAACGGTCAACAAATATGGCCGACACAGACCTTTATCCACCTGGATTCCCAGTCCCCGCTGAGGATTATGATGAGTATCCAAACGAAGCTTTTGGCATCGATGCCAGTCCTCTCAGGTATACAGAAGAGGAAGACCGTCAAGATGATCTGCGGACCAGGAAGCTTACGTCACTGTACCCGTACGAGTTTCTGGATCCCAGTAAGACAAGATCAGATGCAGGTTTCATGCAGGAGCCGGTCGGGCTGCTACGGAAGGAGATGGTGCAGAAGATGGGACATAACGGCACGGACGGTGACTGGACCCTCGTGGAATTTGTGCCGGCTTGGACTGACCCGGACTGGAGCGATCGATTTGTCTTCACTGGGTCCACTGACCCTGATAATCCTCAGGTCCAGATGTATGTGAAACCGGGCCTTCTACAGCGGCAGAGACCGGCTCTATTGCCTAGTGATATTGCGATAAGGGGCCCCTCGGAGGTAGCAAGGAGGTTCGGTATAGATCCTGTTCATCAGGACGACCCATATTACAGCCGTTCGGGCATCACTCCAACTACTCCCAAATTTGGAGTGCCGCTGGTGTACCCGCGGGAGACCCCAAGTAACCAGGGGCAAAAAGATAAGATCGATGTGGACGACCTGACTGCGCTGGCTATGCAGTTTGAGAACGACGCTCGCGCTCAAGGCGAGGACACCTCGAAAGACAACCTCCGAGCGCACCTTTTGAGTGCAGCGCGGGATGCGCCTACTAATCTAGTCAAAGTTGATACAGAGATCGCTGGTGCCCTCTTATCAGTGATGGAGCAGGTGCACAGGCGGGAAGAGCAGGAAGAGTATCAGCGGTTGCTATTAGCTGGTAATACCTCTAAAGATGTGAGAGCTTCTAACCTCTGTACTCCTTCATTGTCATCAGGGCCTTCTTCGGCCTGCTAATCAACTCACAAAGCCTCTCTGACTCAAAATGTTTCTGTAGCTTGTTTCGAACAACGTCTGGACTATAGGCATGAATGCCGCCACTGATCTAGCAACACCATTGCACGAGTAAGCGGATCGACTATTTTTTTATGGTATACGATAAATATCATATGGATGCTAACACCAGTGTGAGCAGACTCTTGACGCCAGACAAATGGGAAATAACCGATATGCGAAGCGAATTGGACCTTGACACTGGTGAGCATAGTCGACCGAGAACTGTGTACAATATCTCCGAACAGCAGGGCGAATATTGTATGGTAGGTAACCATCACCGGCATCTCAAAAGGGACGTAGAGCCTGAAACATGAGGAGCACTGTCGACTGACAGATATGAAGAACGACGACCTGGTACGGGCCGCGCTTCAACCCGCGCTACAAATGGTCTCTAAAGTTCTGTACAGCGATCATCCCGTAACATGGGCGTGGGCCGACATCTATAGACTTCGGCCAATTCGTGATGGACGGGCCCCTAGCCCCGAGCACAGGAGATCACGTATTACAGAAACACACCTGGACCACGGAGTTAGTGACCAGGAGTGGTTCGCCATGTGGCTCGGGGACTACGATAGTCAAAACTGGTTCCCGGAGGTTGCAGCCTTGTACAACGCCGGTTTTGACTCGGTCAAATATGTCTGCGAGATACTGAAACGGACTATCATCTGGGAGATCAACTCAAAATACGGGGCTGATGATTATGGCATGAGCGGGGACCAGCAGCGGATGGGTTTCACGCAATTCAATCCGCATCCTGCTGACCCCAGTCAGCCTTTCGGTATCCGCATCAGCATTTCTGCAGATTACATCTGGCCACTGCTGGTCAAAGAATACTCAGGTGCTGAGAAAGCCGCCTGCAGCTTCACGTTGGCTGCAATAATGTTACACGAGTTGAGTGTAAGTGAGCCTGGTAAGGTTCCCCTGTGAGCTTCAAGACCGCTAATCCGGCCTGCATGGACAGCACGCCATTGTCATAGCAAGACAGCAGATTCTGCACCCTAGTTGTGCTTGGTTGGATTTCGATCCACAGTGGGCGACGGAGATCCATCATACAGTCATCGAAAGCTTGATAACGTTTGGTTATCGGTTCTTGGAACATACCAGCACGGAGGACCAGTGGTGGTACGACACAGAGGAGATGGACTTTCTTGAAGGTGAATCGAAGAACGAGGAAGGTTTGGCAACGGAGAACCAGGTGGGATTTGACCCAAATTGCCTTGCACATGAAAATTGGAGGCAGAAGGTGACTGACATGCACTGCTTTACTCGTAATAGTACTTCGGTGGCGTTGCCACGGCTATGGCCGCTGGTACTGGCACGCGCTTCATTGATGATCTAACTATCATGGGGTGCTTAGAATTGTGGCCGCATTCCAGGGGAAAGAAGGTAGTGCCGTCAACGTTACAGGCTATACCCAGGGACATGATCCTGAAGTTTTTCTCAGAGCAATTTTGGACCCACGACGTGGCGAAATGGGGTCATCAGGCCATGAAGATATGGCCCCAGGAAGCGCCCAAAATGATGGCAACCTGGGGCGACTTCTCATGGGGACTTGTGGAAAGGAAGTTTGGCCGGCCTGCGAGGCGTTGGATGAGATCGGTATACCACCGGATGCGTCATGACGACGACCACGCGATCCTCTGGAGATGGCTCTATTACCAGACAGTGAGGGCCGTGGAACCCGTGTTGCTGATAGTTCGGTGGCGAAGACACCACAAATCTTGGAAGACCACCGACAAGGCGCTCTGGACAGCACGAAATGCCTGCAGTGACAGAGCTGCCGCAGCCCAGGCGTACCTGCAGCAATTACTCAACGAGGTTAACGCATGGGACGGGACCAGCTCGCTGCCGGACCCCCAGATCGAACCTTTCAGGGATTGCTTAAGTGCCATGTGGGCATTACATCGGGATTTGAGTACCGAGGCGGGGATATACCAGGGAATGGTAGTGGATTATCATGTACAGTCGGATCTGGCCGTCAAGGACACCATCCAACAGCTTTGGGGCGCAATCATGCACACGCGCTTGAGTGCGATACATACGGCCATCGCCGATGATTGCATCCAATTTTTGGATGACTTCTTGAATATTGACCCAAGGGTTCTCGACAGGCTGGCTACCGTTCCGCAACTAGTCGATTTGTTGACCACGGGCAGGAATGCCATTAGGGCAAACTTCGCGGCTGTCCGGGAAGTCTTCAACCCCATATTACGCACCTTTGGCCAAGGCTCTGAAGATGAATACATCTTCAGGCCTGAGGACTTTCCAGGGGTAGCGTCTGGAAGTGTGTTGGACATCGCCAAGCGCATTGAAAGAATGGCTCAGAGGCAGCTCAGGGAACTAGACGGACCTGCACGGATCGTGGCAGAAGGCTGGCTAAATTTGTTAAGCACAGGCGAGAAGCTCCTGAACGCAGTTCCTGGGTCGCCGGCCGCTTTTGTCAGCCAAAATCTGGACTCGGTAGCAGACTTCATTGACAGACTAACTACCGCGCAGGAGCACTTGGTTGCGGCTCAATACCCAGATCCAGCCCAGCCCCAAGAAGTGCAGCAGCCTCTGTTGCGGCACAATCAACCCCGGCCAGGTAAGTCGGTGATGGCTAGCACTGATCTGCGTGCTGAGGTTCAACAATGATCGCTAACAATTTGCCGGAACTAGATGGGACCGAGCGTGTGCAACGTTTCGTAACGTCACCACCTGGCCAACCGCCCAACGCCTGGCAGACGCTATACGCCGAAGCATCTGGATATATCCCATATGAGGATCCGAGAACGGGCTTCACCCTGTTCGACAGGATCGATATTCCCAACGAGTCGAACGTGCAGGCGGAGCTAGCAGCTCGCGGACTAATGCAAGGCGCAGATCTCGCCGGAGCCATGGGCGACGCTATTTTTGGTATAGCGGCACCCATGTTCCCGGGCGTAAACAATTCCAATGCCAGCAGCGAAGTTTCGGAAGCGCAGTTGGCTGTTATGCAAGGCCTGGCAGCCGGAGCACATCTGAGAGGCGCCAACAACCCAGCAGCTCCTGCGGTGCAACCCTCTGCTCGAGCAGTCCAGCTGAGCCAGGTCGCAAGAGGTCTGGCAGACCTGATCCAGGCGAGAGCAGAGCAGCTCCAGGCTAACCCAGAACTGGCTGGGCGAGTGGTCCCGTCCGTGTTTAATCAGACGCTGCAGCAGTTGGCTGGACGAAGCGGAGAGAACTTTACAGGCACGAATGTGCCCGGTGATTCGAACCTCTTTGGAGGGAGCATGGCGCAAAGGA